TGTGTGTGTGTGTGTCTTTGTGTCTGTGCGTACATGCATGTCTGCATGTGGGCGCATATGTATCATATGGAATTTTCGCAGTGGGTGAAACTCCTTGAATTGAAGTCATTGCCAGAAACCCAAAGATCTACTTACAGACATATCTTCTGCTCGGCAGCTGCCCTGACTATTCTGATTAAAACTACAGTGGAGTAAGGCAGTGGGCCATCAGAAAAATGCAAAACGTAAGAAGATAATGTGTAGTTTTCAAGCGATCTTTACTTCCAAGCCAGGGATGAAAGACCATAGAGATTCTCTGCTTTTACATTGCCTTTGGCAAGGACGCTGCTGGGCCTCCCCTGTCTTTTAGGCTCCCTCTGTGAGGCTGAAAACAATGCTTGGTTCAGATGGGACGGTTACTGCTGTGCTTTTGTCTCTCTTAGTCACCACGGGAGCCATGCTGGGAATTAACGGAGCGATGGAACTGCTTCTCAAGGTCATCACCCCTTACACCCAGAAGCGCACCCAAATAATCAGGTACGGAGCACTTCTTTAGTACTTCTGCCCTGTTTGTGATAGGTACGGAGATGGAGATGGCCTCATAGGTAGTCTCCTGGTGCTTCCGGTTCACTTAGTGACGACTTCCCCCTTGCTGATAGGGTGTAATGATTTCATTCTACCTCAGCTCGCATCCCTCCCCACCCATCCATCATTTCCCCTGGTCTTCACAGCCGCCCCCAAAAGGTGTCATATCACCCTCATTTTCATATGAGGAAACTAAAATGTGGAGAGGATCTTATTCAACATCACAATGCCAGGAAAAGGCAGAGCTGGGATTTGAATCCAGATCTGTCTGATTCAAAAGCCCACATTGGTTTGCTTGTTTTTGCCTGAAGCCTTCAGCTATCTTTTTTAATCACAGCGACTCTACTATAGTGAGTTTTGTCCATAAAAGACAGTCCAGAAATGACAGGGAAAAGCGATATTCTCAGGGTCTCTGAAGAGTCAGTCAGTTACATTTCTGATAGGAAATTCTGATTGCGTGCTGGGGTTGAGATGTATTTTTTATGATTGGAAAGTGAAACCTCAGCCCATCATCTCCGGTGCTGCCTGCTGGAGTGCAGGTGAATCACAAACTTAAAAAGGGAGGTGGTTAGACACGAAGGCTTTGGAGATATTCGGAACCATTAAGATCCATCATTTATGGGAGTGACTCAGCGAGGACCTTGAAAGAATATTGGAAAAAATTCAGCCAATTTCCAAGATATATGGGGTCGTTTGGCAAAGTAGCATTTCCATGCCCAGCCATGATATTTTCCGCATCCCAGCATCAATCTTAGGCTCCGGTTCCACCTGATTATTTTTCTCTTGGGTCCCCGCAGTAATGCCATTCTCATCCATTCTCACCTACAGCTCTCTACACCAGCATTTCCTAGAGTGAAAAACATTATATCTCAGTAAAAAAAAAAAAAAAAATTCTCATCAAATACATTGAGAAGTACTGGGTTAAACAAAGTTGGGTACATTTCTTTACTGTAAGACTTCTCAGAGCCTTTGTAAAGCCAACACATGTTCAGGATCTCAAGATGGGTATACAATGTATGCCCTTTTCCAAACCCTATTTGGCTAGGGGAACTGTGTTTCTTTGGAGACTACCCCTTCTCTGAAGTGCAAACATCGCAAAATGGGATTCAGCTAAATTCTAGCAAGGGACCCTTATCTAGCAAGTATCAAACTTCAGAGGCACAAACTCAGTGACAAAAAATTGGACTTGCCTGATTTTTCTGTAATTATACTTCATTTCCCTCTTCAACTTCCATTATTCTAGTTGAATGTGTTTGATTTGGATATTTCTGGTCTTTATCATTGTGCGTAGGCCTTTGCTGCTGACATCTGTAGTCTTAAGTCCTTTGGTCAGCAATCCATGAACTGTATCTTCTTGCCCTAGTCACGGGGCTTCTTCTAATCGGTGGCTGTTTCAGTTGATCTCTTTGGAATATGTGGTCGCTTCCCCTATATCACGTGAGAATCTAGCGACATGTCTGGGGCCCATCCACGTACCAGGCTCACTCAGTACTTGCTCGGGCACCATACTGTTTGGAGGCTTCTCGAGGCAAGAGCTTCCCAGCTTACCTTGGCACTAGGCTCGTCCCTTCTGGGGTCCCAATACCTTTTATTGTCTCCCCTTTACAGGTCGAACTGGGGGTAGTAAGCAACCAAGCACAGAAGCCTCTTGGTCACCTCTGTTGCTCTTTTTCTCCTGCAAAAGGGGTAAAATTCAGGCACGGATCTGATCAAGGTGTTACGGGAAAATGGGGAAGTAACGCCAGGGATTAACAGGGGTGGATGTTTCCAATGACAAAAGGACCTCAGGCCTCTTTCTGCTTTTCTGGTCTGTTCTGTAAAAGTTAGGCAAGATGATTCCCCTTCTTGTTCCAAATGCCAAATTAAAACCAAACCCCCGTGGAGGAGAGGCTTTTTCAGCACTCATTTCAATATAGCTGTCATTGCCGTGGCGTTTATTATGCGCTCTGCCCCATGCTAAGCTCCGAGCATGCATTATCTCATTTGATCCTCTCCTCTCCTCTGCGAGGCAGGCGCTATTACTGTCCCTGGTTTTACAGGGGAAAAAACTTGAAGCTGAAAGAAGTTAAGGAGCATGCTGGGACTTAAGTGAAAGAGCTGGGATTTAAACCCTGTCTGATACATGAGCCTCAGCTCTTAAACCACCGCTGGAGTGCCTTACACAGTCTCTCTCCAGCATTTTATTTCTCAACCACCATATGTAAAACAATCATAAGCAGTTAAAGTTTGTTTAAATTTCGGTTACAGTCTAAACGCACATACTCATGGACCAATTTGCTTAATGAGAGGGGAGTCCTTCTCCTCCACCGAATGGCCATTTCCTCTCAACGCCTAAGTAAGTGTCGGTTCCCTCTGCGTTTAAATTCTTTCCCAGAGCTGCCCGATTGGCAGCCTCCAGCAGCGTGACTAGAACAAAGGTGCTAAAATCAGGAGACCTGCCCTGTAGTCCTCTTTCTAGCTCATTCCTTGGCGAGTCGTTTATTTTTTTCTTGCCTGAACTGAAAGTGTGTGAATCTCAAGTCCTACCTCCTAGGTTTGTTGTGGACATTAAGGAATCATGTGCAAAGTTCTTGGAAGCTTTGATGGGCTCTGATATTCTCCATGATTATTAACATAAATGCTGTCAGACCCTTGGCCGCCTTCTTCCAGTCAGGCAGCAAAGCCAGAGGAGAACATACAGATGGGGAGTTTCTGCCACTGCTCACCTTCTCCCAAGCACTCCATCTCCCAACCAGTAATGTGGATGTTCCCCGCTGAGTCCCACGCAGCTCCACTTGGATGCCAGAAGCTGTGGCTTTGCAGGGGTCTTTCAGGAAGGGGATGGGGTAACAAGTCAGGGAACTTGAATAGCCCTCCTGAGCATCATCCGCCAGATGCCAGCAAGCTCTGGGAGAGCTATTCTGGGGCCTCGGTAGGAGCAGATGCCCGGCGTCGTGTCACCACGACTCCTCCTCACCCTGGAGGTTCACCCTGCCCTACTTCTCTAGCACAAACCTAAAATTAGTTGTGCAGCTGTCCTCCAATAAAACCCTGTCTCCAGATAGTACTCAGGGCAAGATTTATGACAGAGGCACGAACTGCACACCTTCTAGAGAAAAAGGGGCCTGCAGAGCATTGTCACTCACCCTCCGGGGCCTTGGGCCAGCCCTCGCTCCCAGGGGAGGCGGCTCTCCCAGGCCTCCCTCACTTCCCAGATACCCACCACGCCGGCATGCTGTGGCTGTCATGGATCTGTGTTGGCTTGCACCTGTTCCCTCATGACCATCGCTTCAGTCTGAGCAGTTTCTGTCTGACCTAGACAGCTCCTGCAGCCCTTGGACTGGTCTGCCCTGACCTCAGAGCCATCCAGACTGTGTCCCAGTCTCCATCTCCATCCTTACCTTTTGTTCCCCCTCTTACCTCTAGCTGTCCAGCCAGCTGTCCCTGCATGTGGGCTGCCTGTCCTGCTCCAGGCCTTTCCTTGTGTGCTTCCCTCCCCCTGGAAGGGCGTTGCTGCCTTATTGAATGCTAGACGCTGCCCTCATTCATCAGGCCCCACCTTACGGTACTCGCTTCACCTCAGCAGACAGAAGGACTTTTCCCTCCTCCAGCGCTTGATTTATGTTTTCCTTTAACAGATAGCAGATGAACTCTGTGCTATGTTGATCTGTGTGTCTTTCCTCCACTCTAAATTCTAAACGTCCTGAAGGTAGAAATCAAATTATATTTATCTTGCTGTTCTCCATTGGCCCTACCCAGGTACCTTGACTATGGTAGGCTCTTAATTCAATTTGGAAGAAATTCTTCAATTTAAAAAATGTGTTTTTGTGAAGAACCTGCCTAATGATGAATACAAGCCAACATTCACTGAATGGGTGCCGTAGTGGGCACTTCATATTTATTAACTTATTAGTCCATGATCCCAAGCTGACTCCCCATTTGGGGCTCCATCATGTCTAAACGTGCCTGGGAAATGATGTGGCAGCTCTGCCTGGAACTCTCTTTGCAGGAGGTGTGGAGGTGCCGTTTGGGAGGGAATTCATTCTAAGACAGTGAGAGGCAGCAACCATCGGCTTGAAAGAGAACGAAGTCTCACTAACTGGAGGGAAGGAGAAACTTGGAGTCTTTTGTCTCTTACTTAGAGTTGTCTGGGGAACAGGCAGAGATGAGCAGAAGAGAAAGATCTGAGTTTGAGGGGACGTAGGGGGCGGCGTGCAGTTCAAGCTTTGCTGACTCTCTGGTTTGATAATCCATTCAGCTGGAATTTATGGGCCTTTAGAATTTATAGAGGAGCTTTTTATAGAATTGGGAGGGAGAAATGACCCAGGGACAGGGCGAGTGAGCTCTCGCTCATCTGCTCTGCTGTGAACAAGTTTGTGTATCTGCACCAAAGCTGCCACGGAGCCTTCCAGATTCACTAGGTAGGAAATTTATTGAGGCAAAGATGGATTGCTTGTCTGTGACTGACTCATCTTGTGACCTTAGGAAAGCTTGTGTTTGCTCCATGTCTCAACACCTTCTCTACCTTTGTTCCCTCGTGTCCAGGGTGGGCTGAAGGAGTTTGGTAAAAATAATGGCAGTTTCCACTGTCTGTCCACTTGATTATTTCCACAGCATGGCCACGTTTGCTGTGGTGATATCTAACCCAACTTCTGAAGCTGAATTATCAGCTGTTATCATCAGTGTATCTCTCACCAATAAACTCTGTTGACATGTCTTGCCTCAGAAGCATCAGAGTCAATCAGGAATGGGTTGCATCTTCCAGCAGAGGTTGGTCCTTAAGCTCTGTGGTATTCCCTGACCCTTGCGCCACACTTTGAGAAAGGGGACTCAGGACACCCACAAGCCGAGATGGCTCCTTCATCCTTTACTTGCCATTTCTCTGGAGCTTTCTTAAGAAGATAGGAGGTTGGGAAATGTGTTGTTCAGGACCCTGCTGGTCTCACCCTCACAGAGGACAGCGTCTCCCATAT